TACAGTAATACCTCGACTTACGCTACCCTGACTTACACGAACCCGGAGTTACGTGATATTCAAATCTCGTCGATTCTTCTTTTGTTTGAGCGCCACGCAACTCTCGATTACTCCCCCCACACTATTGTTCAGCTTACATGTTCGGACGTGTCGCGCGGAATCCACACATAGCTACAATTTATTTTCTGTTATTTATTTCTGTGTTTGTTATATCTACGCAGACTTTAGAGACTCTGTGTGGTAATTTCTTGTAACCGTGAACGAATCAAAAGACGAGATAAGATTAACGACAACATTTATTAGCTTACATCCGATTTGGATTTTACACAAATTGTGAAATTATACCCCGACTTACGCGAATTCGACTTACGCGGTTATCGCTCGGTCCCACCTATCGCGTAAATTCGGGGTATTACTGTATTTATTTTTCATTTCAACGTTTTTATACATCACGAGCCGAGAAATGTAAAAATATCTTTACAAAATTGTGATTGTGTGGATGTATATCTTACAGTATACAGTGTTAGGGGCCGTCCATAAATTACATAAGGGCGATTTCGGCCATTCTAAACCCCCATTCATTCCTGTGTAAGAAATCGTAATATTTTCTTTGATTCTCCCCTCCCCTTCCCTTCCCTATCTTACGTAATATTTTGGCATGATTTTATAGAAAGATTTTAATAAAAAAAGAAAAAAAAATTTTTATGAAACCCTAAAAACCTTAGGTCCAAAATTATAATTACTAGCAGACCCCGCCACGCGTTGTTGTGGCTGAAAATGTATCTATGAATTTATAACACTTCCCCCATGGGGGGAATTTTTTGAAAAATTTCTTGTTAGTGTACATTCTCTTGACGTGCCCTATTAAAACGCAATGAAAAACGCAAAAACCCGCATCTAAAATAGTATAAATAGAAGCAGAGTTCTGTACGGTAAGCCTTAATCCCGTCCATCTCCCGGGGGGGATTTCGACATGTATAGTATATAGAAACACGTGCGTATTCGAATGCAGCGTTGTGTGAAAATTTCAAAGGAATCGGTAGGAACAAACGAACATTACATCTTTATTTATATAGATAGATAGAGGATGATCTGCTTTAGTTTATTTTCACAGAAAAGCATAATGCCTCACAGAAAAGCAAACTTAGGGCGTCGTACTCGTAGCACCATCTGTTGGACATAACAGCCTTAACCCTAGATGATATAATTTAATTTACATGAATGTTTAACGGAATAATATACAGCCTATGTCCACCCTGAAGTTCCATTCTAAATATTGGTGAAAAAATATTTGAAATCGGATGAGTAGTTTCGGAGATTACCTGCTGCATACAAACTTACATNCACCTGACATCAGACGCATACATTTCTTTGGATTTGGCTTCCTGAAGCAATGTCTCTTTCTTCATAAGGCTACATTAAAATGATGATCTTTGGAAAGTAATTAAACAGTATAGGTGGAAACTTGCAAGAAGGTCTTGGAATCGTGGAAACGCCGATGTCGAGCTGTGAGCCAACCACATTGAGCAGACAAAGTCAATTCATCAACGGATGTTTCGTGAAAGAAACTAAGCGAAAAAGTTAGACATAATTAGCAAATTACCTTCTGTATAATAAATTTTCTTATTTGCAGACGTTCTAACCTTCTCTTCAATACTAGCGATGATTTTTTATCCATCTGAGCGATTTTTTCATATGTTCCGTTAAATTTTTCTCCTACCACCTTAATTGACTACATGTTTTTCTATATTAGTAATTGTAGGTGCCATCGATTACTAAGCGGAAGCAATCATATTTGTTACCTGTCTCAGCTGTTCTTCAATATTCTTTGTCCAAATTATTTTGTATTAAGAATTCTATTTCTGATACAAAGTTGTTACTTTATTTATGATCATTCTTCTTAAATGGTTAACAACATTATTTTAAATATATAAATATTTATTATATTCCTAATTATACAAGAGAAACCATACATAGTAAATATCATTATATACTAATAGACAGAAAATCGAACGTCTTCTCTCAATCGAATCTTAACTTAATATTCAAAGAAGATTTAGTTTAAAATTTATGATTTTTTAAGCATATCAAGCTCGCAATTTCATTGGAGGAGACGGTTCCATTAATGTGTTCGAATATTATATGATAATATAATAATTTCCAGAAAAAATATTTCCTTTATGAAAAATATAGAAGAAAAGATGTCCTTCGAATTTACTACGCACTGCTTTATAAGAGCTCACCCACTCCCTGCATCCAACAGCATGCCCAAATAGTTTGTATTGAAGAATACTCTCAACATGAATAACTCTGACTCTTTTGTTTCAATCAATACACAGTGATATACAACACCACCACAGTGCCAGAATCTCCCTTTTTGTCCTTTAACAGACGATAAATTTGTTCTACTACTTAGTTTCAAAAAATCTGCTCATATCTTTCTGGGACGAGGTTAGAAGTATCGAAGGAATAATTACTAGAAGAGATCCATGAAGATGTTGCAAGCATACAAAATGTAAAGCCAATCTTTGCAGATTTAATGCGCAATAAAGAACTAACATACTGTGTAGTATATCTAGTCTATTCAGTTTCCTTTCTGCATCTGTTGAGCACCTGATGGTGCAGGAATTTTCTCTGAGTTTTTTTCCTCTCTCTAAGTCACAAGAATTGCAATTTTGATTAGAAGCTGGATCCATTTTCATGCGTAAACATCGTGTATGAATAAAAACTATACTTCCTTTGCTGAAGATAATTTTTACAGTAAAACAGAAACTAGTAGTAGTTACACAGACTGAGTGAGTTGAATTTTATCAGAAATTAAAAAAATAATGTTTGTTATAAAAAATGCAGTGTGTCTGAAGGTACTGTACGAAATTATGGCAAAATTTTGAGTTGGGCTACAGACATTCAAGTAGATGTTGGGCCAGTTGCTATTAGACTTTTAAGTACGTCCCTCTTTGTACAGTACACGTACAGAAATCATTTTTTTCATTGTAAAAGAATGTTATTAGATAAATGATATATTTTTAACCCCCAAAAATTAGAAATGTATGTTGTTAAAATTTAACGTATGTACTTAAAAAGTAATTGTTGACGTCTATATTTTATTTCTTCAGCAAGTTTTCCAACCTCCAACAGATTGACAAATTAATTTTAATAAATCAATTTGCATTTTACAGTTAGTTTTAAATACAAGTACTAATTAGGAAATTAAAAATGCAATTTTTGCTTATTTTTACTGCAACAATATCCGGGCTTAATTTATAATGTTTTTTCCTTATCTTTATAGTTTCTGTTATATAATTGTATAATTATCTATATTTATATGTAAACAATTTTAACTGTTTAAGAAGAATCATGAAAATAAAACGAACGTAACAGAACCATATAAAAGACCGCCTCATACTGAAATAAAATTTTATGTAATCTTAAATCCATTCATTAAACTACAAATAAGAAAATTTTGTTCTTTCAGCAAAAGTTATGCAAAAAAGTATTATTTCACTGATTTGACAAAGGAGTAAAATTTAATATTGTTGATTACATAACTAAAAGATGTCAAAATTTCTAAAGTAAATGGATCTTGTTTTAGAATTTTTCTTTTCTGGTACAAAATTTCGATGTTTCTATAATCAGGATATCAATTTTTCGGGCCAGAAATCCCAAAAAATTGGTACCTCTAAAAATACGAATATATGAATACGTTACGGTGATTCTACCCATTTTTACGATTTATAATACGGTTATGTTTGAAGTTTTTTCTTAAATATTTTGGAGTATTTTAATATAACTTAATTCTAATAAAGACATAAATATATTATCATTAAACAAGTTTTGTCTGGACAAAAGATAAAACTTTATAATCCACGACAGAAATTAAATATTTGTT